GAAATAATCAACGAGTCCATAGTAACAGAATAATTTGTTCTAAATTAAATAAGTAAAAACACAATTCCTCTCTAACTTCATCATTTTTTTCTCTCTTCATGTAACTATCTTGGTGATGCAGTGTCTAGACTTCTTGGAACAAGTGATGGAGTCTGGAATTTATTCTGTGGGTTTGAAAATGGCTATTTGGGTTTCCAGCACACACCATGTGAAAACCCAGTGCTTTCAGAATATGTAAAAATCATCAACCTGTTTACCAAAAAAGACTTATCCATGGAATGTCAAAATGTTACGTTGCCACCAACAGGGACATATATAGATTTATCCATTTTATATATATCATCTCATTGTAATATGGTTCCCATCAGCCCCTGTATCAAAAAACAAACAAACAAACAGTAATTTGTACTCATGAAAGAATTATGGAAGATACTTTCTAGTTTTTGAGAAAAACCAGTAAAGTAAATTAGCTTAAAGGATAGACATCCATTCTTGTTCTGGTTTTAGTAAGTAGTCCGCAGAATGCATGAAGTCAAAGAGCAGAGTTTTCATATCACAAGTCCTTCTTGGTTTTTGTCATTTATTAGCTGGATAAAGAGCAGTCTTAGGCACTGAGATCTAAACCACATTGGTGCAGCCCGCATTATCAAGCCTGATGGTAGTTTATCTTTGCTCTTAAGGAAACCAAATAGAGTGCTCGCAGAGGAAGTTCAGAGGCATTTCCACCAGTTACCTAAAGCTGAGAGCTGATCTTGCACATGGCTGGAGCCATTTCCTATAAGCTCCTGTGCCTAATTTTACAAGTCTGTCACATCTTGAAGCTTTACCCTAGAAAATATACGTCTACCACAGAAAAGTTTTACTGCAAAAGTTTATTGAGAGATAATAATAGTCTTACAGAGTATAAAACTCCATAGCTTTGACTTATTAAAATAAGCCTGTCCCCAATTTTAAAACAGCATTCTCCAGTTCTATTAGATTTTCTGTGACACCAAAAAAAAAAAAAAAATTAACCAGAAAAGTTTTTCTTTTAATTAAAAAATACGTGACACATTGAACTGAGCTGATAGCATTTATACTAAAATTCTCTATAAGTCCTGTTCAGAAGAGCAGCATAAAGTTAAATTATAAAATAAGCATAAGGGGTAGTAGCTCTTCTGGAAGAAAATTAGGTATTCAGAGTATAAAGTAAAAATTAAAAATCTATGGAGATGAAATGACAATAAAATGTTAGCCAAGGCATTATTATTCTATATTCTTAATTGGAACTCCAATTATTAAAGTGTTTTTTTTTTTTAAGGTGGCATATTATACATGGTCCTGACAATAAAATGTTAACCAAGGCATTATTATTCTATATTCTTAATTGGAACTCCAATTATTAAAGTGTTTTTTTTTTTAAGTTGGCATATTATACATGGCCCTGGGCTCCCCTGGTGGCTCAGATGGTAGAGAATATGCATGCAATGCATGAGCCCTGGGTTCAGTCCCTGGGTTGGGAAACTCGGCTGGAGGAGGGCCTGGCGACCCACTCCAGTTGTTCCTGCCTGGAGAATCCCATGGACAGAGGAGCCTGGCAGGCTACAGTCCGTGGGGTGGCAAAGAGTCGGACACTGGTGAGCGACTAAAGCACACACACACAGTCATGATCGTGGAAACTCTTAGGATTTTATTTCAAAAGTCATGAAGTTGACTGAAAAGTGGACTCAATCCTACATCAACAGAACTGCAGTGCATTCACAGTGTATCCCAGTTTGTCGATATGTAAAATGGGTGAGCCATCCTGCCTAACTCTGCTGTTCTGAAGAGAAGATGACTGAGGATTTAAACTGTAAGCACTTAAATCAGTTGTGTCAACTTTCATAACTTCATCAAATACCATGGAAGGTGTGAAGATTTACTGAGTCCTTCTACTGAACAGAACAAAGATGAGGTTTTGGATAACTCTGCATGATTTCAAGAAACTTATAGAAAAGAATCACACAAAATGCTTTCCACTAACTACACTGCTTGGGAACCCTAGTTTGGCACAAGAAGTCTGNCCTTCTACTGAACAGAACAAAGATGAGGCTTTGGATAACTGCATGATTTCAAGAAACTTATAGAAAAGAATCACACAAAATGCTTTCCACTAACTACACTGCTTGGGAACCCTAGTTTGGCACAAGAAGTCTGAAAGTGAGGTAGATTCTCATCTGAGGTCATGAATAGTGCTCTGTGTGGCCCCAGCCCGTGTCCCTATGTCTAATTCACAGAAAGTTCTTCGTGATGTGGCCACTGGAACAGGGGTGGGTCAGGCGGTATCCAGTGACACTGTCAGTCACTGATGACAACAAAGTTTGGAATTACTACCTCTGGCATAAAGAATACCAAGATCAGTGAAGGAGTATCTTTGACGGTTGTGTTGTACATCTTGGAAAACCGTGACCAAAGCATAGAACACGAGCCACAAAGAGTATTAACTCTATTGGTAAAAATATATTCCCACTTGCTACTCATCTACTAGGATTTTTTATATCTAATTAAAGAAACTTTTTCCAAAGTATATTCTTTAGAGTACTAGTTTTAAGCAAAATCAGTAGGTGCTAAAAAGTTTTAGAAACTGATTTAAAGTCCCCTTTCTGCAGGCTTCTGTAAAACTGATTTCTCAGAGTTTTAAAATTCTATGTCTGTAGCAAAGAGAGCTTCCCAGGTGGCACTAGTGGAAAAGAATCCACCTGCCGATGCAGGAAATGCAAGACATGGGTTCAGTTCCTGGGCTGGGGATCCCCTGGAGAAGGAAATGGCAAACCGCTCCAGTATTCGTGCTGGGAAAACCCCATGGACGGAGGAGCCTGGTGGGCTACAGTCCATGGGGTTGCAAAGAGTCGGACACAACTAAGCACGCACGCAGTCATATCCAAGAGGCTACACTATGCAGAATTGCTCAAATGCACTGAAACACAGAAAGCTTTTTTCCCCCAACTGCGCTAACATTCTAAAAAAAAAAATGTGTAGGTAATAAATAGTAAATTAAGAGATACTTAAAACCTGTATGACATTAGAACCACCCATCTGAAATGGCCAAGGAACTGTTACCTCCAACACTTTCTGGGACAGTTTTGTTGGCAATGCAGACATTTGCCATGGGTGCTAGACATGAAATAGTATTTGCTGAAATGTGACTCCAGAGGTCTGTACTTTTTTGAAAAATTGGCAGCAGTTGTATCCCTGAGTAACTGTCTGCTTAAGGACACAAGGACAGTGATGAGCAGAGTGGGCTAATGCACTTGTTTAAAGGTTATATGAACACTTTATAGGGGTGGGGAGGTATCTATACAGAATTCCGAGTGATCAGTGACTAAGAGGCATACAAGATGTGTAATTGGAAATGGAAGACTTTCTTCTCATAGTCTTTTTATTCAGCCACTGAACAGTTATTCTATTAAGTACCAGGCACAGCGTAGGGTGTTGGATGAAGGGATACGCAACACTTGGCCCATGCCTTTAGGGAAATGAGAGTCTGGACAATTTTAATAGAAAAGTGATGAACTCTGTGAGAGCACAGAGAATGGGGTACAGAAATCTCTGATAATTTTCAGCTATGAAGCTAAATTAGTAATATCCCCAAGCCTTGCAAACAGTTGTCCTTAGTCCACATTATGAGGTTATTTTCATATTGATAGGGATGGCACGCAGTTGTTATCAGCAGTAACACATGGATTACGGGCAGCAGTTTGGTTTGTTTGATTTAGAGTTGCTTCACTAAGGTTGTCTCTCTTTTCAGCAAACAGAATTAGTAGGACAGTACTTGTTTAGGATGGAGAAGCATTTGTCCAGAGTTGCTTTATTTCTCCGTGAATAGTAAACAACATCTGATGAGCCAATCTCCATTCAGATATTTCCCTGGATTCAGAATTATCATGCCTCTTGGATACTGAAAGTACCTACCAACGCATAACATTGTCATTTAGATTTTTCCTGTTTATGCGTGCCCTTCATATGTGAACTTAGCGACTTTAGAAGCATAAAGAATCATGAGCTTGCTGTTCCCATAAGAATTGTTTCAATGAAACTGTGTTTTGAGAAACCGTGTTTTCATTAGATGATTCTGGCTCTGAAATTTTGTGATGATCAAGTTTAGAATCTCAGAAATATAGTTGATTCCATGGAAGATTCCATTCTCAAAAGAGTAGAACTTCAGCTTTTCAGAGGGTCTGTATATTAGAAACAGGAATATGGGTCATGCTTTGTGCTTACAGAGGTGGGCATATACTTTTTCTGCGTCTTCAATTTTTTGTTGCCAAAATACATGTTATCCCCAACACATATTTTACTGAATCCTACAACTTAGTGAAAAACAACTGAACTATTGTATTATTCATTTAGATTAAGAAAATTTGGAGAATTAAAGGGGTGGAAAAGGAAATACTGTCAGTGACATGGAGTGCGGGGAGGAGAAAAAGGCAGTTTCAACAAGATCTGGAACACTATTTCCTTTATTTATTAAAAAAAAAAAAGCTATCAAATGACAAAAGACGTGACAACATTTGCCAATTGTGATTGTTGGTAGATAAGTATTTCTTACATTATCCCTCTATTTTACTTTAGTTAGAAAAGATTTTTCATAATATGATTTATTCATTCAACAAACAATCTGTTGAGAGCCTACTATGTGCTGAAAGTAAAATGGAGGAAAAACAGAGGCCAGCCCTGCCCGCCTGGCAGGCGTTTGTGTTTGGGTGTGAGAGTGAGGTGTTTGGGAGCTAATGCAGAATGTTCAGAAGGACATGAGGGGATGGGAAGAAAGAACCTGTGCTGATATCGGAGAGGCGGGCTTCTGTTGGTTCTGAAGAGATGGCTATTCTATACTGCTAGAAACTGCATTATTTTTGGTCAAAATAGACTTTAAGATTAATCATGCTTGGCGGGGGCCACACATGGAAAAGTGTTATGTGCTATCACTGTTCTCGCCGGCCGCATGCCCAAGTTCACCTGCATTTCTCTTTGATTTCCTCCAGTACATGACTGCCGCGGCTCCTATGCAAGGGACCTACATCCCCCAGTACACGCCTGTGCCTCCGACAGCTGTTTCCATTGAAGTAAGTCCGTCTCTTCTTACAAAACGAGGTTAGGGCAGATAAATCTCAGCCTCATGAACCAGGGTCCACCGTAAACCCCCCAAAATCCTTAGTTGTGATTTTTGTGCTGCTTCAAAGTTTGCCGTTGCAAGCTTACTCTGTGAAAGTGTGGACTTTACTTGAACATGCCTTTGCCTTGCTTTGCACAGGACACAGGCAAATTTGGTATCCAGGTCTCAGAGGAATGCCATTTTTATGCTTAGAGAAAAGACCAACGATCAAATAACGACTCCATCAAATGAGAGCCACAAACAGTCAGAAAGAGGAAGGGAAACATTCGAAGCCTTTTGAATAAGCCAGTTCTCTGATGCCCTGTTACTCCCTAAACCAACATGAGCAGCACCGCCTGGGAGCCTGTTAGAAATACACACTTTCAGACCCTCCCTGGACCTACTGAGTGAGAATATGCATTTTCACAAGAGCGCTTAAGGACCAAGGCGCACATTAAAAATTAAGATGGGCTGGCTTAGCACACTGGTTCTCACATTTTTCTGCATGTTGAAGTTATTTCAAGATTTTTTTTAAAAAAATAGTGATCTTTGCCAGAGAGTCTGATGTGATCCAGGGTGTGCACCGGACCTGGGAATTTTTAAAGGCTGCCAGGTGATTCTTTTGTGTGCCAAAGATGAAGGACCACTCCTCTCACCAGTGACCCTTGATGGGACTGTGACGTCCCACAGCAGCGGAGGAGGACTTGTACCACTCTTGTTGGTGCAGGCCATGAGTGATAAAGTCATGTTGGCCTTGCTGGAAGCTTTCTCCTCTCCTCTCTTTCCGCGGGGCTGAATCCATTTCCCCTATACATTGTCTAACTGGACAGAGCCAGAAAGATACTGGATAGGAGGGGCATAGCGCTATGCGGACGGTGGTGAGAACTTAGACTTCTCCCTGCTTCCAGCCCTCCTTCACCTTCTCCTGGCGCACATTTGCTGTTACGGTCACAGTGGATTTCTGCCATCAGCTGGGACTCCTCTGGAGTCCACGCCGTTGCTGTTCCTCACGTTGGTACCGCTCAATGTGGGAGACCAGCATGACTCTTCCAAACTCTGGAGCCGCACAGATTAGGTGAAATTTTTAGAGACCAAATTGGATCTTTTCAAAATGCATCTTTGTTTGCCTGTTTTTGGTGTGTTACCGATGTTTGCTAGTACCAAGATTTGGGAAGCACAGACATTAGAGGACAGTACCATGTCATTTAGGAAACCAAGGAGGAACAACTTGTTAATCTTTTATGTGTTCCAGACCTATAAGCCCTCGAGAATGTTTCACTATTAAAGAGGTTTTAATTAGCTTTTCAGATTTTCAAGCGCATATGATTAAAGTATATATTCTTTTCTAGATTTAGCTATCAAAACCCATCTAGGCCATGAGAAAAAATTATGAATCTAGACATCATAGGTGGCTTTGAGCATCAATGTCTGCCACATATCCGCATCTCTCTATCTGTACACCAGATGTGTGTGCTTATCCACAGAATCTGAGGTTTTTGAGGACTCCAAAACAAGGAGACACACTTGAGAGCATTGCTTATTGGAAACAGTCTAATTATATCAATAAATCTGGGATTTAAAAAGAAGTATATCACTAAGAATTATATCAGTATAGCCTGATATATTGCCCTGAGTTGTGCTTATAAAGGAAAGCACTGATTCATTTTCTATGTAAAAACACTCATTGAAAATTCACCAGTATTCATACAAGTCAATGCATTTAGGAAACTCAGAAAACTGTGTAATACCAAACAGTATATTAGGGGTGAAAAAATATTGACTTCATAAAGGGAGAATTTTCACATTTTGAGAAGCAATTTCAGGCAGCTTCTGTTAAGGACAGACATTGGTCAAAAGCCTGTATCTCTGCAGAGTCCACGGCTATAATATAAGTACAACCATGTATTCATATGGATTCCCTCCCTAGGCTGACTAACTACCAAACCTTTCTCAGGACCAAACATAACTTCTGAGTGAGGACCAACTCAAGAAACCCATTCTTGTTGGCATCTGTGAGCAGCAGAAGCCATCAAAAGGCTAAAGGAAGGAGCAAATCAAAATTAAGGGTGTTTGTTTCTTTTTCTGACACCTCTAAATGAATTCTAGTTCGTGTCAAGGAAAATAAAAGTAAGTAAAACAAATCAAATTCGTTAAGGGAAAGCGTATTTGACCATGTCCTTTTAGAAGAATTCCAAACCTGGGTATAGATTTTTATTAACAAGGTCCATTGTTTTGCAGGATCATAGAGACAGGGTAGGGAAATTTATTCCCAGGAAAATGCTCAAATGTAGACGTTTTATAGGAATTCTGCATGCTCCTTTTATTAAGGAGTTATTATTTAGTGTGGCTCAGGCAACTGCAGCTTAACATGATTTCCTGATCATTTGAGCGCTACAGGGTCTTCTGATGACAAGTCGTCTTGGTGACACATGGAGGTAAATTCCTCAAACGAGTGCTGTGGTTTTTCTCTTAGTGTTTACTGAGGCTTTATGTAGCTGAGTGCAGCTCTACGCAAGCCCGATGCCGGATAGTGCAGGGTTATGCCCTACAGTCCATCTGCAAGAAGCCCTTCTGCTCAAGCCAGTGAGGCTCTGTGTTCTTGTTGCCTCCACAGGGTGTTGTGGCTGATACCTCTCCCCAGACAGTGGCACCTTCGTCCCAGGACACGAGTGGTCAGCAGCAGCAGATAGCAGTGGACACAGCCAGCGAGCATGCATCTGCATATTCCTACCAACAGTCCAAGTAAGTCCTGGCCGTGCTAAACTCTGTCCCTCCAGATCTGCCATCTGGACTTCACCCTCTCATGTGGCATCTGCTAGCTTTAGCTGCAGCAGAGACCATCTCAAACTCGGTGACATTCACCTAGTTCATGATTCTGTGGGTTGGCATTTGGGCGAACCTGAGGCAAGTGCTTCTTCTGCTCTTGACTGGACTTGTGTGAGCATCTGGGCGCAGGAGCTGGGCATCTTCACAGTTCTGCTTCTGGGCATCGGTCGTCTGATGGCTGTGGGATGGATCACATGGACCCAGGTGATGCTGACCGTGGAAGTCTCAGAATTAAGAGAACAGCAAGAGAGGGTGCCAGAAGACCAGCATGTTTTCAGCCCCATAGGCCAAAGCAAATCATGTGGCCAACCCCAAAGATAATGTAAGAATTCACTACCAAAAGGCAGGGGCATTGTAGCCATTTTTACCAAAATTTTCTATCATACACATTTTTGGAAAAACTCCAGTGTTCCCACTTGAAACTGCATAGTGTGCCTGCACTGTGGTCTTGCTGTCTTCATTCTTAAATAAAGACAGTAACATGCCCCTGGCAAGACTGCTTCAAACTTACCCAGTAAAACAGTTTATGAAAATGAGTATGGTGAAATATAAAGCAATATGGGATAGAGACTTATTCAGGAATTAAATGGCAAAGCAAAAATCAAGGAGTCAGAATTACTGCTGACAAGCCTTAAGTCACTTAGAAAGCCAAGTACAGCTGGCTTTGTGTGGAGTATCATGGAGATTAAAATTTGAGTGGTTTTGATTGAAACCAAAGGACTTAACAGACCTTCAGTCTGTATACAGAAGTTCTCTCATGGTAACTGTTCTACTTTGTAGGTAATGGTCAAAGCCCTGGTGGATAGAGAATTCCCAAAGACTCTTCCTGTTTGCAGAACAGTGGTGCAAATGAGTGGTGCTCATTTCTTGATCATAAATTTTCTTTCCTCTCAATTCACATTTAGAGATTTGTTTGTTGTTAAAAGACTTAATCACTTTAATGGCACCTTCCAGTATGTGGTTTCACTTCTAAAGTGGACCCTCCAAAGTAAATGTGCTAGAGTACTGGAGACTGGTTTTGTGGAAGACCATTTTTCATGGACTGGGGAGGGGTGGTGAGGGGGTGGTTTGGGGATGATTCAAGTACATTACATTTACTGTGTACTTTATTCCTATTATTACCACCTTGTCATATATTTACACAGCTCCCCATAATGCAGAGTCAGGGAGACCCCTGAGCTTGTCTTCCTGTAGCTAGACGGTCCCTTCTGGGGCAGTGGGGAGCGGCTCTAAATGCAGATGAAGCTTCCTTTGCCCCTCACCTACTGCAGAGCAGCCCAGTTCCTAACAGACCAGGGACTGGTGCTAGTCCGTGACCTGGGGGCCGAGGACCCTGGGGCTAGAATGTGACTTAACCTTACAAATGCAAGGCATTATTATCATCATTACTACTGCTACTATCAATATTATATAATGACTTATATATTTAGTTTCAAGTGTACAGCAAAGTGATTGAGTTTTATTTACATGTATATGTATTCTTTTTCAAATTCATTTCCATTTAGGTTATCACAGAATATTGAGTAGATCTCCCTATGCTACACAGTAGGTCCTTGTTCCTTATCTGTTTTAAATACGTATATATATATGTCCATATCAAACTCCCAATTTATCCCTCCTGTCACCATTTTCCCTTTTGGTAACCATCAGTTTACTAAGCCTGTGAGTCTGTTTCTGTTTTATAAATAGGTTCAGTTTTATCATTTGTTTAGATTGTGTTTATAGACTACATCATGTGCTATTTGTCTTTCTCACTCTGACTAGCTTCAGTTAGTATGATAATCTCCAGTGCTGGCATGTTGCTGCAAATAGTTTTTTTTCTTCTTTTTAATAGCTGGGTAAGGTTCCATTGTGTATACATGCATCTTCCTTATCCATTCATCTGCAGGTGGACATCAAGGCTGCTTCCACGTCTTAGCTATTGTAAACAGAGCCGCAGTGAACACTGGGATGCATGTGTATTTTTGAACCAGGCTTTTCTCTGGATATAGCCCAGGATTGGGATTGTTGGGTCATGTGGTAGCTCTGTATTTAGTTTTTAAAGAAATATCCATATTGTTTTCCACAGTGGTTGTGTCAATTTACATTCCCACCAAGAGTGTAAGAGGGTTTTTTTCACACCCTCTCCAGCATTTAGTGTTTCTAGACTTTTGATGATGGCCATTCTGCCAGATGTGAAGTGATATTCATTGTAGTTTTTATTTGCCTTTCTCTAATAATGAGCAATGTTGAGCACCTTTTCATGTGCCTCTTGGCCATCCATCTTTCTTCTTTGGAGAAACACCAGTGTAGGTCTTCTGCATTTTTTGACTGGGTTGTTTTGTTCTTTTTTGTATTGAGCTGCATGATCCATTTATATACTTTAGGAATTAATCCCTTTTTGGCCACATCATTTGCAAATATTTTCTCTCATTCTGTGCATTGTCTTTTTATTTTATTTATGGTTTACTTTGCTGTACAAGAACTTTTGAGTTTAATTAGGCCCCATTAAACCATCACGATTCAATATGGGGAAGATTGCACCTTTCTGAGAATTTGTCCATTTCTTCTAGGTTGTCCATTTTATTGGCATATAGTTGCTCTATTTATATTTGCTTTTTACATCTGTTATTTTAGGATCTGGACCAAAAAAGATATTGTTGCAATTTGTGCTTTCTGCTAAGGGTTTTATAGTATACGTCTCTTGTCTTTAATCCATTTTGAGTTATTTTTGTGTATGGTATTAAATAATGTTCTAAATTTGTTCTTTTACATGCAGCTGTCCAGTTTTCCCAGCATCATTTATTGAAGAGACTGTTTTTTACCCATGGTAAAGCCTTGCCTCCTTTGTCATAGATTAATTGATCACAAGCGCATGGGTTGACTTCTGGGCTTTCTCTCCTGTTCATCCATCTACATTTCTGCTTTTGTGCCAGTACCACACTGGAGCTGTCAGTATAGTCTGAATTCAGGGAGCCTGATTCCTCCAGCTTCTTTTTTCTTTCTCAAGGTGGCTTTGACTACTTCGAGCCTTTTATGTCTCCATGCAAGTTTTAAGATTGATTTTTTTGTTCTAGTTCTATAAAAATGCTATTGATAATTTGATAGGTATTGCATTGAATCTGAAGATTGTCTTGGGAAACATAGTGATTTTGACAATATTGATTTTTCCAGTTCAAGAACATGGTATATATATATATATCTATATATATATCTATATATATATCTTCATCTGGTTAATGTCATCCTCAATTTTTTCATCAAAGTGTTAATAGTTTTTAGAGTACAGGTCTTTTGCTTCATTAGGTAAATTTATTCCTAGGTATTTTATTATTTTTGATGTGATGGTAAAAGGAAGTGTTTCCTTAATTTCTCCTTCTGATCCTTCCTTATTAGTGTATAGGAATAAAACAGATTTCTGTGTATTGATGATTTTGTATTCTACTTTAACGAAATCACTGATGAGCTCTAGTAGTTTCCTGATAAAATCTTTAGCATTTTCTATGTTTAGTATCATCTTATCTGCAAAGAGTGATAGTTTTACTTCTTATTTTCTAATGTGGATTCCTTTTATTTCTTTTTATTCTCTAACTAATATATCTATAACTTCCAAAATTTGTGGAGTGAAAGTGATGAGAGTAGACATCCTTTTCTTGTTACTGATCTTAATGATGAGAAACTGAAAGCATTTCCTCTGAGGATGATGTTAGCAGTAGGTTTGTCATCTATAGACTTTATTATGTTGAGGTATGTTCCTCTATGCCCACTTTCTGCAGAGTTTTTATTATAAATGGGTGTTGAATTTTGTCAAAAACTTTTCTGCATCTATTGAGATGATCATATGGTTCTTATTTTTCAATTTGCTGATTGATTTGCATATATCAAAGAAACCTTGAAACCCTAAGATAAATCCCACTGGATTGTGGTTTATGACCTTTTAATATATTGTTGGATTCAGTTTGCTATCTAGTATTTTGTTTATGATTTTGCATCTATGTTCATCAGTGATATGGGCCTGTAAGTTTCTGTTTTTATGGTATCATTATCTGGTTTTGGTATCAGGGTGATGGTGATCTCACAGAGTGAGCTTGGGAGTGTTCCTTCCTCTGCAATTTTTTTGGAATAGTTTCAGAATAGCCATTAAGTCTTCTATAAATGTTTGATAGAATTTGCTTGTGAAGTCATCCGGTCCTAGACTTTTGTTTCTTGAGAGTTTTTAAATCACAGTTTAAATTTCAGTACTTATGATTGGTCTGTTCATATTTTCAGTTTCTTCATGGTTCAATATAGGGAGATTGTACCTTTCTAAGAATTTGTCTATTTCTTCTAGGTTGTCCTTTTTATTGGCATGTAGTTGCTTATCCTTTGTATTTCTGTGGTATCCACTGTAACTTCTTTTCAATTGTAATTTTATTGATTTGAGCCCTTTTCATTTTTTCCTTGATGAGTCTAACATTTTATCAGTTTTGTTTATCTTTTCAAATATTGTTTCATTTATTTCTCCTCTGATCTTTATGATTCCTTTCCTTCTACTAATTGTGTATTTTGTTTGTTCTTCTTTCTCTAGTTGCTATAGGTGTGAGTTTAGGTTGTTTCAGATTTTTCTTGTTTCTTGAGGTAAGATTGTATTGCTATAAACGTCCCTCTTAGAAATGCTTCTGTCATGTCTCATAGGTTTTGGATAACTTTGTTTTTGTTGTCATTTGTGTTTATATATTTTTTTATTTCCTCTTTGATTTCTTCATGACCCTTTGGTTGTCTGGTAACATATTGTTTAGTCTCCATGTGTTTGTGCTTTTTTATAGTTTTGACTATAATTTATTTCTAATATCATAGTGTGTTGGCAAGAAAAGATGCTTGATATGATTGATTTTCTTAAATTTACTGAGGCTTGACTTGTAGCCCAATATGTGATCTATTCTGGAGAATGTTTCATGTGGAGTTGAGAATTGTATTCTGCTGCTTTTGGAGGGAATGCCCTATAAATATCAGTTAAGTCCATCTGGTCT